TTTTTTTTTTTTTTTTTTTTTTTTTTTAAATACACACAAAAGTATTTATAAAAATGTCAAATATTTTCTTTTATGTGATACGTATATAAGAGAAATATTATTAGGAATCAGTTGAATGGGGGAGAGAAAAATGAAACGACATTCATCATAATGGAAAAGAAATAAGTAAACAAACAAATTAATTAATGAAATAATGAATTGTTGTTTATTATCATTCTCAAGCGATTAGATGGAGGTAAGTGACATAAGCACACAATGCATGCATACATACATATTCAAAGGCACGGATCAATGCCACTCTATGTCCATGACACTCAAATTTCGAAATCTTCTATTTCGAGCTCTTCTGCTATCAAATCATCTTCAAATCGATGCTTTGAAATTACTTGAACGCTTACTTGAAGATGCAACCGTACGAACGGCAGATTGTTTACTGGGAAGTGTCATAGACTTGTCATAGTTTTGAGCAAGCTTATAGGGGTATGAGTGCATTAGTAAATGATTGGGTAAATTCTGATATGTATAATGATGATAAGTGGCTTTGCTATTAATAAGATTACCTCCCTGAACTTCAAGTCAAGTTAGTTTCGGTGCTTTTATGACAACGGCAGAGCTTTTAACTGATCCTCCTTTACGCCTTAAATTTTTGCTAGAAAGTCTAAAACTTGCTAACCAAATATTCTATTTATGGCCACAAATTAAGTTTGGAGGTAAAAATGATTGGTCGCTCATAAACACGATCATGCCAGTCGAGACACATCACTTTACAATCTTCGCTGTCTTTTGTTGTTGTTCTTTCTCAATTTTCGTTTTATGATCTGTGACACATCTCGATTTAATTATCAGAAAACTCTAAATGGAGAGTGAGCAATCAGATAACGATCACGTTCACATTTTGTAACAAGCTAGAGAGTTATCCGCCCCTTCATTTCTATGCATAATGAGTGAGAGTATTACGGACGGAGCAGAATTTCTGATTAATTCTCGTAATAAAATACGGCAAACCTATATATAAAGTCTTCACCATTTGAAGGCAATTTCTTTTATGAAAGTCCTTACATGAGCGGACACCGGCAACGTGAACTGATGTGATTCACATCTATCAAAACACAACTTCCTTCTCATAGGCCTAATTACACTTTTCTTATTTAAGTGCTAATGATTAAACTCAAGTCAGGCCTGAAAATTCTTGTGGGCATCTAGGCGTGGTCCAATTGTAACTCACACTTTTATTTAGATGAAGTCAATATTATGAACCAATGTTCATCACAAAATATTTAAGAAATTAGATCTCTTGCTTGAGGCCAACCCGATCTCAATTTTTCACAACAATTTAAAATTTACGGCCACCTTTTATGATACTCCTCGACTTGATGTTAAGTTTTGAATAAACAAAGGTATTCAATGGTCATAACTTTGGTTTCAATTATGCTCAGGAGGATCGATATTGCCAACAGTTGATGCTCGTCCTTGTCACCTTAGGCATGTTGTTCTTGCCGTTTGTTTAGTTGGATTTTTATTATCCTCAATCCATATAGGTGTACAGAATTGCCTGCCAACTATCAGGGAATCGGGACAAAATTAGATAGGCATGAGTAGAGAGAATAATTAAGAAAAGCAAAATTATTGAGAAGAGAACGATTGCGAACAATCACTGTCGCTGTAGGTTCAATGAACTTTTCGCTGAAATATCGATCGAACAAAGGCAAAATTGAGTGTTATAAGAAAGCCACTTAGGAATCGATAATAACGACGTAAAGGAAAAATCATAATATAATATAATATGCAATATATATATATATATATATATATATATAACATACATAAATAATATAATGTAATAAAATAAATATTATTTGAGATGTGCTGGCTGAAGTCGCTCGTGTGTGAACGATTTAATTATTTACTAGTAATGGCGACGTAGGTAGTTACGTTAAGGAAAGTTGATATACGCTTAGGAAGTTAAACAAAGAAAAGGTTAAATTTCGATGATAAAAGGATATCAGAAATCAAGATCAATACAGTGAGATAATAAAGATCATAAGTATAAGTAGTTTAACAAAGCTTGAAACTGTGGCACTCGAATACCATACATACAGCAGAAGAAAATACTGTAAGAAGATTGCGTGAAAAATACAGTTTGAAATTTGAGAAAACTAAATTAAAAATTGGATTTAGACGTTGCTATGTGGTATTATCGGCACTTGTCACGTCACGATTTGTTCTAAGCATCGAACAATTTGTGAATTAAATACGCGATCTTAAGCAAGAAAATTTGCGAAATTTTCCCAACCGATTGCTGGGAGCAGGGAGAGGTGAAGCATATGAGAGAATATTTTCCACGTCTGCTAACATAGTCAAAACTGTCAATCGCTATTGCAGATCGCAAACCATTTCTGCTTGCAATTTGCCGGAAACTGATTTTTTCGTCCTTTTCTTTTCTACGCATTTCATCCCTTTTCATTCCTTTTCATTTTAACTGATATTCGAAACGTAAGTCCCTGCTCCCTCAAGTTAGGCGTGACGTGGATCCAACCGAGCATATGAAAAAAAAAAGAATCTGCCCTGCCTACCGATAGGTGGCGGCAATGATATTTAACTAGTCGGTCGATTGCCGATCGACTTAGCATAATTCGGTCACTCTCTACTTCTGTTACTGCCGCGGGGGGCCCCCCCCCCTTTTCCCTGAACAGCACCATGTTACAAGATGGAGGGACATCCCTGGACTGATTTATCAACCCGACAACAAATAAATAGAGTTCGTATTTCTGCGCTTAACACACAGACAGGAATAAATGTTTACCATACCGCCACGCTTTCTGAATTGAAATGAGAATTTACTTGCCTTGTACTAGAGAGTAACATCTTTTTACTACGTCACTCTTATTCAGATGAAAAAATATTAACTTGAAGGACAGAAAACAAAAGTTTTACTTTTACTTTTTATATACATTTATGTGTAGTTAAGTGTTACAAGCTAATATTAAAAAAAAAAAAAAAAAAAATTAAAAAAATCCGAATGAAGCGACTGAGTGTTTATTCAGATCATAAAATGCTTTAATGAACAAGTTTAAAACTTAAAGCCGTAAGTTCGTCGTTGTTGCGTTAACAAATGTATTCATTAAAAAAAAAATAAATAAATAAATAAATTATTTAAATTCAAAAAAAAAAAAAAAAAAAAAAATAACACCCACAAAGTTTTGTGCATTGAAATCAGCTTTAATTACGTTGCAGTTAACATTATCTACATGCGAACGAAACCGGTCGTCTGTTCAAACTTGAATTTTTCTTTTTTTTTTTTTTGGCAAATGTTTATACACTACACATGTAGGTGTGTATTAATTTCGTCTCGATCATTTTACTCAATTTAAATATGCCAGCAACTATACTCTGACAGCATCCCAACTTAGTCACCTCCACTCGCCCACGCGTCCGGCAATTGTCGAGGGCAGAGAATTGAAGTGAAAGATTGAAATCTGATTTTACCCTATCAGTCAAGCTTAAATGTGTGTGTACGTGTGCATATGCATGCGAGGACGTAATTTAGGGATTAACACGCTTCCCATAGTCACGGGTTAAAGAAGCCCGGAAGCGCTTTTCTCATTTCTTAAATACAAAACAAATTCGTTAACTTGACTTATACATATTAGCATCGATACGAACGTTGTCGATCCTTTTGCCGGATCATTTCTAGATGAGGGATTTTTCAAAAGTCCACGTCAAGTGTGGGCATCCCAATCAGGGTGATCTTCTACTAGTTCATACTACAAATGTGAATATAAGAGATTTGCATGGTAGCTGTCTGGATGACAGGTGCCCAGATGCCAAGTCCGAACGTAATGGTGTTTACTGCTTTATTACAAGCCATTAGGAGATTTAAAAT